TTGGCAACTTGACAGTTGTTCCTTTGTGCACCTCAGAATGAGACGTACTGTTATGACTTCCTCAATCCCCCCCCCCCCCCTCCCTGTCACTCCCCAACCTTGTCATGATTCACTGTTATTTGGATTGGAACGCTGCGTCTGTTGGTTGCACCAACCGCTGACACACATAAGATTCTCAGCCAGACTCATCACATCTTTATGGAGGTAAGAAGACACATTATGATCGTTACATGTAGCACGGAGCACGAATATCAATGAGAATGGGTTTCCTCACATTTCCAAACACGTCGAATCGAAAATCGTCAAAAAAAATTCCTCTGCACGTGGTATTATCAACTCTCTTCTCTGTGTTTGGAATTGTGATGAGACGCTGTACCTTGTGTTTGATATGTAACTAAAACATACTTGTAATTTCCTCTTTTAATTTTCACTTGTATTCTTTCCACAGATTGGAGTGAAACAGCTGTATGTTCAGATTGAACATTCTTACTGAAGACACCCCAGGACACACCAGCCGTTCAAGATTACAGGAGAAAATTTCCAGTCGGTCCTTTAGCAAAGTCTGGACTTAAGAGATGAGCGGAAAAAAATCAGAGCCCATAAGTCGTTTTAAACTTAGTTTTCGAACATCGAACTTGGTTATTTTTATAACAGATTTTAAAGCTTGTGTAAAGTGGACATTAACCGAGTCGTGAAGCGGTGGAGTTCACTATACCGAGCTTGTTGTTTCTGTTAATTTTAAGTTCGTCGTTTACATCTGTCTCATTGTGACCAGATCTCAGCCACTCATCCTTGTTTATTTTATCAATTTGAAGGTTTCCTTGATCTGTAAACCGAGTATCGTATGATCTGAGGTTTGATAATAAGTTTTCACAACGATCTGAGGTGTGGAGATGCGGAAGCAACATATTTGGCTCTGAACTAAACAATAGTTTGGTATCGTAAACAACTATGTATTGTTAAAGCCCAAAGTAGACCAGAGCATGGGTACTTTCTGAGTGTTCATGTGAACATTTTTATACTATTTTTTCGACATCGTTCACCTAACTTTCCAATCTCCAAAGCTGTTTCAACTGTAGGTACTATCACTAATGGAGGCCTTATGTCCGACTCTCATTTTGAACTGTCTCGTAGAATTTCATTCGCGAAAATATGAATGATTCCTTGTCAACTGAGCGTGACTTTCAGCCATCTTCTCTGGTTGCTTGCGCGGAAGTAAGCGACCAGACAAACCGGATAAATACAGGTAATTGTCAGCCAAGTGGGCGAATTTCTGAAACAGTTAAGAAAATTTATATTTTGTCGAAAAGCCATAATTTAAGAGAGAAGATGAAATATGTTCTATATTCCAAGCAAGAGAACCAAAGCGGGGAGGGGAGGGAGGGAGTAGGCTTGGATGAGAAAGGCTTTGGCATTCAAACAAAGAACAATATTGAATTGAATAAAAGTTTAACTCGAGTTACTTTGTAAATAGAATAAATAATGTATTATTTTCTTTCATTTTCCTGTAATAAGTACAATACGCTGTGGCTCAATCAAGTCAGTCTGGAGTCGCTATTGTGGCAACAGCTGGGACAAGAATTTCGATCCCAGGCTCTCTCGCCTTTCCTGGGATCGAGGTTGCTGGGGTAATAAAAACTGTTACAAACGTCAGATCTCTATTTTTATTTTTTTGATACTCGCTCTCTAAAGTGTCATTTCCTTTTATGTGAGGAGAGATTTCCTATGAAAAGGCTGTTTTTTCTCATTAGAGTGAATATTTAACAACTAGGAGACGTGCAGATAAGTTACGAGATGGGGTACATCCAATATAATTCAGCGCAGCATAACATATTTTTATATTACAGATCTGAAAGTACGCTTGTTCTGATTGGCTAAAACACACGTTGCCATCCAACTAGCATTAAGCCTAGGAAAAATCGAGGCTTAACATAACGTTTGTTTTCAGAAATTGTAAGTGCAGAAGTAATCCTTAATTTTACAAAAAAAACGTGCGAAATGGCAAAGTTAGTATAACAAAGAAGTCATAGGAAATCTTCGGGCAAACTGTGGTATCTTCGGAGGTCCTCGGAAAACGTTCGGAATAATTATGAGCTCAGCGAGCAAACGTTATAAATGTGGTAGACCGTTTTCTAATTTTCTCGCGCAAAGAAATCTCTTATGAACAGCAACTTCTTTCCATAATCAATAAACAACAACCAACAGTTGGCGCGGAAATGTATGCATGAATATTTGCCCACGGACATTTCTTTACCAAGAAGCGAACAGTTTCCTGAATGTGCCGGTCGAGATAGGCAACGATAGATAACAACCTTGAGTAAATGTTGAAAAAAAAAGATTATAAAGGAAAACGCTTGGCAGTTGTAACCGCTTCGCTTGTATTTCGCGCTCTCTATATTTCTCTCCTGTTCACAAATACAAGGCTGTTTGTAGCGGTGTAATACAAGGTTTTTAACCGTCCTCTATGCGACACAAAGAACCCAAAAGATACATGACGAAGTGCCAATACTTAATTGTGTCTCCTTGTTGAATATTAATATACTCAAAAGCTAGTTTTTCATATAAATCGAAAACGAATAATTCTTTATACATAGTATATATAGTATATTAAGCATTTTTATTTATGAGTATGAAAACAATACTAAGGAATGTTATGAGTTTGATAGCTCTTAAAATATTTAGAACTGTGAATTAAAACTTGTTATTTACAGAGTGTTTCCGCAACGGCTATATTTTTGTTTCCAAACAATGGGAAAATTTTGTATAGGAAATAACATTTCTCAAAAGAGAGAATTTTCATTGTATGGGAAACCAGCATTAGCCACTTCAGAAACGACAAGAAGCCTGGAACGAGTCTCCTCTCGCAGTCCCTTGTGGGACTTTACTACTGGCCCCAAGGAAAACTGAGTTTTGTTTTCCTGAAATCACGTGCGAGATCACGTTCGAATCAAAAGTTAAAGTTGTTGTTCCTCTAGGGCGGTGGTGAATTTTGACACATGACACCTGACAAAATCTCCTCCAATCGGAAAACGTATCTGAGTTGGGAGGTAAAGCAATACGACTTCTCATCTTTTGTTTTGTCTTCAGTAACGATCCCATAAGCAACTGCAAGATGAGACTCGCCTCAGGTCTTTTCTCGTTTCTAAAGTGGCGAATGGCCGTCGCGGTGTCATATGTTGACGCTCTATTGGATGTAGAATTCTGGTGTGCTCGAGGGGGACTGTGGCTGTGCAGCGGATATGTTGGGCTCCCTGTTACGCCTTCTCTTTCTGCTTGGAATAAGTTCTTCAAAATTGGAACCGGAGTGTGTAGACTGACCATCAAGACTCACATAGGCGTGATCGCTGCCATTGTGAGGCACAAGCGCTCTGGAATCTTTTAGTATTTGTTTCATCTCTTCGTAATGTTTATTCTGCTCTTCCATAATGCTTCGAATCTCCATTTTCACTTCCTGTCGGAGTTCCTCTATTCTCTTCTCTTGTTTTGCGATCAGGACTTCTGTTCTTCTCTGCCATTCCTTCTCTTTAGCCAGCTCTTTTAAAATTTGCTTGTGTTTCGAATCGTCTTTGTCGTTAAGCGTCTGAGCGGCCTTACCTCTGGTTTCATCTCCCAGACTTTTATTAGTATGTCTAAACTCAAGTTCGCCATAAAGGCGCTCTTTCAGATCCCGCCCCAGACTCTTAACAAATTGCGCTCGGTCTTGAGCTTTCTTAACTCGGTCCAGCGCCTCGCGGATGGTTTCTTGCGACTGTCTCAAGCTCTCTTCGTACTGAATTTCTGCCACTTTCCTTATCAGAATATCCGTACTCTCGCGTAATTTTTGCGGAAGCGTCTCTTGTAAATCCGACGCTCCCCAAGTCAAACGATTCTCTGAAGGAGAACTTCTGCCTAAGGTGGGGAGGTGTAAGTTTGCATTGTCTCTGTCAGTTCGAGGAGTGTCGTAATCTGGATTTGCATCGCGCGCCATTTGTACCACATCATGGAACCTGGATCCAGACGGATCAGCCTCTCTTCCAAGTTGAACTCGCTGCGCCGCCATTTTGAATCTATTGACGGGGCTTGCATCGTCGTCACGTGACAGCTGATCATGTGACAGCTGTAAATTATGCACAATCTGTTGTTGTGATGACAGCGTTTTAGCAGCTTTCCGCCATTGCAATTTTGCGGTGTGATCTTCTGACGCAACATCCTCTTGATCGTCAATCTTGCTCGCTCTTTCAACTGTAAAAATGTAATACATAAGAAAACCTAGCTTTTTTACCAGAGAACCTAGCCAGAAACCTCGCTGTCATGCATTACGTCGTCAGCATGCACAGCAAAATATATTATTGCTGTATGTTCTTGAAGAAAAAAAGTGGTGCATCAAGTTCGTTGGTTCAGGTTATAATTACAGGTAGTTAATTTCGTTGTTAGTCAACCCACTTAGAAATAATAGAGCGGTTTTCAATTGAGTGTCGTAAAACCAAAACCAAAGTAATCCTCCTGCAGATCAATCACAAAAGACACAGAGAATTCAATAAACCAATCCAAACTCGTATTAAATACACGTAGCTGACGAGAAGCGCGGGAAAACGTGCGCGAGCGAGTTGCGATTGGTTTTGGTTTTACTTCTGATTGGATGAAAAAGTGGCGCGAGTATTTTGAGCCAATCGTGTAGCGTCGTAGTACAAAACCAATTACTTTTCGACACTCAAGTAAAAACTGCTCTAAGACCGTATATCAGTCATAATTATTATGGCTCGAGGTTGTTCTATCTCGCCAAGAAAACTAACAAATAATTATGATTAATTTTCTCCTTTCACGCGAAAAACAGCGCAGGTTTCTCAAATTAGCTCTGAACTGCTTTTCTTTTCCTGACGTAAAACGAGTTTAATTGTCTTAATAATTTGCATTTCGACTTCGCTAACAAATTTACGTTATCAACTCTAGGCTTTCGTGAACTTTTAAGTCTGCTAAATCACCTTTAATTTCTCAAGCTCCCTTTTATCTCATCTTTCATCTCTTTGTAACAAATCTATGCAAAGATTGAGAGCCAAGATTGCTTACATGAAACTGATATCAAATATTCCTGATAATTTTGCAAACCAGGCAGACAGGAGAACGTCTATATAGTGATTGTAAATGTTTACATCTTTCCTCGGGCAAACCATGTCTCGTTAGCGCTCTCTTCACCCAAAATCAACTGTCCGCAGCTGCTATAACGTTCAGAGAGAAATTTTCTAACACTTGCTGTAAAAGTAACCGATATCGTTATCCGCTGTGATACTGATTCCAACTTCAGGCTAATAATATAAAAAAATAGTGCTGACTTACATATTAGGGTCATATTAGCATTTCCATCAATTAATCAGTATCGAAAAGAAAAACTTGCAAATTTAATGCCCCAATACTCGAATTCACTTCGTTTCTCTACAGGCTTGCAAGTTTTTCCTACAGACAGCCTTTCAAAAGATGTCGTAGACACAATTGAATTGTCCGAGCGACTTTGTTTTTCATTTTGAATCGGACACAAACAGCTAATGCGTGAGCTTGGCTAGCGCTAATAATAACTGAGTCCTTTTGTTTAAATCTCTCATACTCATGCTTGAAACAATTACTCTGAGCACGGAAACTTAAAAACAATGAATTCTGCAATGCCGCAACGCCCTGGACTGATAGCTATCAACCGATGTTTCGTTGTGGTTAAAAAGTGACATGAAATGACGATGTTTGCACGATAATAGCTCAAAAGTTACATTTGCTCCTAGCTACGATGATAAAAAAGAATTAACCATAGCTCAATACACCAATGCTTGGCTGATAAGCTGTATCAACATTTTGTTTGTACTAACCGACACTTGTTACGTGTGCTTAGGATCTGTGATTTCTGTATGGTATAGCTGAGCTGTTCAACTACCCCGCATTCTTACATTTTCTGTACGGCTTTCTTTCACTCTACCTCATGTACCTGCTAACAGAGTGTATTTTCGCTTCTCTAAGGGAGTCCAATTCTTTTCATATGCTATCCACTGTCGCTGTAGATGACTGGAACATCCCGTGCACACAGCAACTCGACCAGCAGAGAACAAACTCGCTTTGACGCCAGTTTTCTGTTGTTCCAGTATTGGAAAGAACGGACCATGTTTTCTTGGCTGGTAATACAATCGCCTCACTGGTCCGGGGCTCGGTTCGTCGCAAGCTGCGCAGAGGAGAGGTCGAGCTGACATATTCTCCATTTCAAGCCATTAAATTGAAATTGGACGAACGAGTAGTAAAACAATTAAACGCCGAAAAATTAACGGAACAGTCCGCCTAATGTCAACCACGGCTCGAACGAAGAACTACAAGTCATTCCGTTCCCACAACAACGATCCAAACAGCAACTTACTGAATACAGACCTGCCGCGGTTTGTTATCAATAATTGATGACATTGCGCCGTGACTTGAAAAAAGCTAACCCATTTCAGCAGCTGAAAAGACTCTTCACTCAGTCGCCATAACAACGCCTGCTCAAAAATCGACAGTTTTCTTGTCAGTTAGTGAAAGAAACAAACGAAGCCACCTGCTTCAATATCGCGTTGAATCCACCACAGAAAAATTATTATAATTGTTTTAATTTATGCTAGTTTGAAAAAGTGCTAAATTAAAAATCGACGGTTTTCTCGTCAGCTGGTGAAAGAGACAAACGAAGCCACCTGCTTCAATAATATATCGCGATAAATATTCACCACAGATAAATTATTGTATTTTAATTTATGCCAGTTTCAAAAAGTGCTAAATTAAAAATTGACAGTTTTTTTGTCAGCTAGTGAAAAAAAAACAAAAAACAAACGAAGACATCTTTAATATTGGGATAAAATTCACCTCAGATAAATTATTATCATTATTTTAATTTATGTAAGTTTTAAAACGTGCTAAATTACAAAGCGATCAAAACTTAACTGGAGAACTATTTGGTGACACGATAGCGGAAAGCGGTAGATATAAATGTGCGGTTCTTTTTTTTCAAAAATTTGGGAAAATTAATTTGTGTAGGTGTTATCTCTTGAGAGTATAAGTAAATAACAACGGTCAAAACTGACGGACATCATCGAGACGTGCGTCCTCGGCCAAACAGAATTCATAGATCGACAACGATATGTCTGAAATATGCAGGAAATATATCCTGGAGTCAAAACTGAACAAGAAAAATATTTCCTTTAAACACTCCACGGCGAAGGTTTAATTGCGAACATGTGGTGTAATTCTTATTGGATCCGCACGCGACTTCCTGTTTCGATTTTCAATTAAGGGTTTTTTTAAATTAACGTCAACTGCTTAAGAGGAAAAACCTAAATGACATGGTTTTTCTTCAATTTTGAATTTTATTCATGCTTCTCTGGCTAACTGCAACATAAAGCAACAGCATTACGCATGGCGCATTTTGAAAAAATTGACGAACGTTTTTCAGTTTCGCCGTTCGTGTACAGGTATTATTTGTCCAGGCGTTGTGTCTTTTCTTTGCTAGTCAGCATCCTAATCAGTGTTGGTATATATCTGCTAGCGTTGAAACGCGAATGCCGTTTTCTGATTGGCTACGCTACCCACTATCTATTCTGTTGTAGATCTGATAGTGAGTAGCGTAGCAGTGTGCAGTTGTGAACAACTTGACGTCCGCTTGTTTTCGTGGTGTCTTTGAAGCCGGAGGGGTGGCGGGTTCTCCCAGAAAAATTGGGTGGGGTGTGCAGCCCGCTTCCCAAAACTCTTACCATATTTATGACCAAAATCTTCAATTTTCCCTACCCTATTCATGACCTGACCAAAAATTCGATACCCTATTTATGACCTGACCCTTTAATCGATACCCTGTTTCAGACCTGCATTGTAATTAGTTACCTAGTTCAGACCAATGTTTAAGACATTGTCAAGGGCTTTTGTTGATGGTCTTACCGATAGCTTCCTCTAAAAAACATCTCTAGTTCAAGACTAGAGTGCAAACTCCATACCCTATTTGAGACCAATATGGCCAAAATCGATACCCTATTTATGGCCAAAACCACTGAAAAACCATAACTTTTGGGGCTGCATATACCTTTATAGCCCATATAAGGGAATACCCACTCCTCCCAGGCTGTGAAGAGGTTAGAGTATGGAGTAACTATTGGGAAATTAACTTTTCTGGTGTTTTCTCGGCGTCGTTTGCATTTTCTGCAAAAGTCAATTCCCCAGTCATAAACTAAAGTATTTTTAAGTGATAAACGTCTCTGTCCTGTGTATTTTCTGGTTAGGACTGAAGAAATAATTACAACTCCCTGGGTAAATGCCCGAGAGGGCGAATTCTGTTCGGTAATATCATCGCTTTACGGTAGAGTCCAATCAAGAAATGTCCCCGGCCTTACTTTGTAATCAGAATCGAGTGAGTGAGTGAGTGCCATTGGACTGCCTACTAAGCTCATGGATGACGTAAACTAGGTCATCCATGAGCAAAAATTGGCAAGTCCAATATTTCCGAGAGTTGCAACATAACTGGTTAGCAAATGTATATTTCTAGTATTGAATTTTAACATGAGCCCATGATTGGCCTCTGTTATGCAAACCGTGAAAAACAAGAAGCTCAGAGAGCCTTCAACCGGGCCGTATTCCTGATTTAAACTGAATTGTGTTAGTTGGGAAGTCTCTTAAAAATGGACTTATCTTCCCTTTTCAGATCTCTCTAAAGGGTTATGAACTGGACTCGCTTGGATAGCACAAGAGAAAGTCATTTCACAAAAGGCAAAAATGTTCCTACAATTTTCGTCATATTTTGTAAATGACGTAATGGTATTTAATTTATAAATTTTGCTCGCTGTGACAAGTGTATGTTTTGCAACGTCGATATTCAGTCCTTGCTTTACCTCAAACGTTCAAAACCACTCTAAGAGAAGAGCAGAACATTCTTAAATTAACCTTTTGACAGCTCATGGCAATTAAATATCACAAGTTGAGAGATTCGCACTCTGCCCCGAGAAATCGCCAGAGTCGGGGACTGATGTGATTGATCAAACGGGGCCAGGGGAAGGTTGTGTAACGCTATCCCAAGGATAAATTATTTGACTATCCAGTGGATGGCATAGTTAGTTTTCACAACATGCATCCACATCATGACTTCTTATTATCCGAGCTTTAGGGGGGAGGGGGAGGGGGGCCACCGGGCAGATGCTACGACCCTTTCATCGACAACAAACACCCAACAAAGTGATCACCCCTCTTTGTTACAGGAAATTTGGACGATAAATTAACATTGTTTAATACAAATACTTTAATAGTGATACAGAATATATCTTTTAACATCTAGACTAACCGTTTTTATACCTAACTAATCTACTTTTAAATATTCGTCACAACTCCGTTGTGTATCAATCCCTTTGGTCACCTATGATATAAGTCTACTCGTTACTATAGAGATGTGAATTTTTTTACCCAACTTCATCAAAAATTGAATTTTATCTGTCCAGCAAATTTAAATGTAAAATAAAATATGCCATCAACAAAAGTTTGCTTTTGCACGCCCGCGCAGTCTTGCAATAGTGCAAACGTTTTGATGCACTGTTCATACGAGTTTTCAACCATATCCATTCAAATTATGGATTATAGAAATATTTTAAACGCCCTTTCTTATCTGCATTACTTGCAAAAACGTTCGGGCGTTTTAATTCGGACGTTCAATTTCGGACACTTTTTCGCATTCCGAACAAAAATTTCGGACACTACTGGCTCTTAGCTAAAGTAAAATGATAGCTTTACTGTACCCTCTAGCAGCTAAATTTCTCAAGTAGTGTCTCAATTAGAGTTCGCTTCATAAAGGAAACTAAGAACTCTGGAGCTAATTTAAAGTTTTACATTGTAGTGTAAACATTTCGGACGTTTGAAAATTTCGGTTCTATTTTCGGCACTTTTTTGTCCGAAATTAAAATCGTCCGAAATTTTTTGCAATGTAGTTAGTACACATGTAAGCCATAGGGTCAACAAAGGTCGGTGTACCCTTACGCTCAGGCCTACATTTTACTTTAATCGTACATTCATGGGTTATGTTAATCTCTCACACCCGTGATCCGGGCTAACAAGCGGAGAGAAGTGTTGCGTGACAACGGAGAGAAATGATGCGTGACAACTCAAATAAAGACAGCGAAGGAGACCAAGATGTCATCACTACATTGAAAAATTTGAAAACTGGTTTCGTTATCTTAATATTGCGATTGAGAAGCTGGTTCAAATCATCTAATTTGACCTCAAAGGGCAAGGGAAGGCATCTGGAAGTGTATAAATATAGAATTCTTTGGAGGTACACGCTCTTCGATTTCTACGACTAGGAAATGATTTCGCTTCTTTCATAAACTGCAAATTTACGTTTATGCGTGTCATTATTGTTATGTACTACTGGTAGTTGCTTCATTTTGATTGTGCAAAGTTCTAGTTCAGACGGCCTATAATAAAATCTTTAAAAGGCCCACGAATGTAAAACCCTCGTTATAGAACTTTGTTCGTTTGCCAACCCCAATCCAACATAATTTTTATGAGATATCAGATGCCCCTGTAACACATTTCATTGGAAGTCATAGACCACCAAGTTTGAATTTTTTTTTGGTGGATTGGCTACGGTTTTGAATTTGAACAGGTTCTCAGGAGAAGATGGTTCTTACATTCAGCTTTTTATATAACAATTAATGCTACATGACTGAGTTGTGCCAGGAACATTTGTTAAGGGCGCAGACTAGTCAATTTTTTCCAACGTTACCAGAATCGTTTTATATCAAATACCCTGCATAGTCGGACCGAACAC